TAAAAGAGGTAATATAAAGCGATGCAAAATCTCAAATTTTGTACTTTTATAATAAAAACTCTGGCAATATATGAGTAAACATGGTTCAGCACGGTCACGAGCTTCGTGAACTGCGCGTGAACTGGCGAATCGTGAGCGCGCAAGAGCTGCAATGGCCGCTTTGGATCGGCGAAATCCTAATCTCGACGATTTTGTCGGATTAAACTGGAGCTGTTGGGTAGACAGAGTGAATGTTTTATCATCTGACGGTGAGTCGTGCACCCCCAGCTCCAGACCTGATTCCCAGCACGTCATAACGTCAGCATCCGACGATTTGTTTCGTTTTTTGGTACTTAAACACACACAGCGACACAAGGCACGACCCAAACAAAAGACGCGCTGGGTCCTAGTGCAGCGAGCTTTCGTCGTTTGTTGACAACCTATGAGCACAAATGGAAAGAATTTCCTCCTTATTCTGTTATGTGGTGAAAACCGAATGTTAAAGTCTTACTGAAAGACACGGTTTGTTTTGGATCAGAGGCGAGAGCATTAATTTAGTTGATAATTTGCTCAACTTGAAGCTTTTACAGCAAAAGTGACTGTAATCAGTTGGCAATAGCTGTGGATGAATAATTCAAACTGATGCGTGAAACCCTCTCATGTGTGATATGCATGTGTTACTGTATAACCAGATAAACCCGTTTGTGGCAAGAAGATACTAGAATTTAGTATTTCATGCTCACGGGTTTGCTTTGCCTGCAGCTGGGTCTAAGGTTGAAGATGACGAGTATGGGATGAACTGCTCAGAGACCATGACGCTCGGAAAAGAAGGTGAGGACTGTGACTGGGCGCATTCACTTAGAAATTTGCATACAGTCGTCACGGACATGAACGTCGTGGTTATTTGTGGATTTTAATAATTTCTTTGAACTGTTGCTTTTCCGGGGTGTAATGATTGCACAGCATACATCTTAAATGACTTTAAAAAAACAAGAATTGGATGTACATGTTTGAATTTATTTTGGATTTTTTTCTAATCCACACAGGAAATAATGGACTCAAATGTAGACATACAGTAACTTGCATTTTTAATAAGTGTTGCTGAAGTTTTTACAGTATCTTTTAACTTGACAAGGCCAAGGCTTATTAACTTCTTGTTAGTGATCATGATTAATTACAACTGGTAGATTTGATGCTTGACATCACTCATTAGCTTAAGCGATACTGACAGCAATAGGAATGTTTAAAGAACTCTGTGAAGATCTAAGAAGGAGAAACCACCAAGGCTCAAGCTTGTCATGCATTGGAAAATCCTGGAGCACCAATGTCACTATGTTTACATTGCACTGGTACGAGAAGGTGCCTGGAACAAAGCTGACGCCTTCAAGCTCGACTGAAATTTGCAGCCGCCTGCATGGACAACCCATATGCCTTCTGCACAAAGGTTTCATGGTCACGTGAGACAAAGATTGAGTTATTTGGCCACAATGAAAATTGGTATGTTTGGAGAAGTAAAGGTAAGACTTTAAAACATAAGAACATTGTACCTATTGTTAAGCGTGGTGGTGGTAGCATCATGTGGCACTGGTACAATTCACAGAAAGAGGACTAGCTTCAAATTCTTCAACTCCACGTCAATTTAGCAGCTAGCTGGTTGAAACTTGGATAGGATGGGTGTTCCAGCAGGAAAATGATCCCAGGTGCACATCAGAGCTGGTTTTAAAATGGATAAACCAAGTTCACTTTAAGCTTCTGGATTGGCCTTCCTGAAACTCAGACCATGGCTGTGTTGAGCCCGTATTTATACTTCTGACCCTGTGTGCTTTAGAACATTTCCAAAATAAATTCAAACTTGTGCACCTAATTCTTGTTTTTTAAAGCCAGTAAAGATGTTTGCTGTACAAACCCCAGAAAAAAGAACAGTTTAAAGAAATAACCGAAAGCCCCAAATGACATTCACATCATCTTGTAATGAGTGTATGTAAACATCTGACCATAAATCTACCTAATTTTGTCTCTCCTTCTTTTTCTTCTCTACAGATATGCACATATATGGCCACTGCCCAGCACACGATGATTTTTATTTGGTGGTGTGCAGCCAGTGTGGCCAGGTGGTGAAACCTCAAGCCTTTGAGAGGCACTGTGAAAGGTGGCATGGTTCTGTTACGAAGATATGTAACCCGCCATCCGCTCTGGCGCCTCAGCAGCTAAATTGCTCCAGCCTCGGTCTTTCTAATAATTCTTCCTCTATGGAAAGGAAGAAGGAAGGCAGATGTCAAAAGGGCGGCACCTCATCTGCAACCTCACCTGCCCAACAGCACAAGTCTACAAAGACCCACAAATATATAGTGAGGTACTGTTTACGAGTGCCCGTGCATGGCCTCCAGTAAGAGCAGGGAACTGCTCTTACTGGAGATGTAGGCAAAAACACATTTACGTCTTCTAGTTTATATCTTGCATAAATATCAGTGTTGTCTCTCGTGTAAGTCTGAATATCATGAATCTAATAAGTTAATTCTAAGCTCATTTTAAACTTCTTTCTGTAGTTTATCTTCTGTGAAGTTCCCTGAGGAAAACCCTCACTCGTCCTCCATGCCTTGCCTTCCTCCATTCCATTCAGCACCCCTGCCCCCTGACGACTGTTCCACCTCCACTCTGTTAGAGAGATCCTCTGTGCAGAAGTTGACAGCTGGACAGTCCACTGAGTCTCACTGTCCTCAGCGGGGCATAAGAACCTACAGCCGGATTTACAAAAACATCCACAGTGAGTCAGCTTTTTCCCCCAACTTTTGTCTATTGCTTCCCCTGCTGCTTTCTGGGAAGTCTGCCCACTTAGTGTGTTAACTGGGGCTTAATGTGTTGTACATCAGTATTTGCATTTTTAAGTAACAGTCTGCATGGATCCTCCTGACAACTCCTGCTGTTGCTGACTGACCTTTGTGTTTGTGCTTTTCTCCACATAGAAAAAGAATGTGATCTGAATAAACACAGCAGAGTTTTGGACCCCGAAAGGAAGACGCTGTGCAACAGGGAGCTAATGTGCAATGTAAACTCTCAGTACATTGTCATGGCACATTGCCCAGAGTTGTTATCGTTTACTTATTGTAGTTAACTGTATAAAACCTTTATTATTTCATACCAAACTATGTCACTTTTTCCTTTTCTCTTTTGCACTGCTCTCTTACGGTTCTTTCTTTCATAGGCTGATTCAGTGAAGCATCAGCAGAAAGTGTTGGGAGAGACTAAGACCACTGATCAGAGAACTACCTCAGCTACAGATCAAGATATGGAGAAGCTTCGTGATGAATCAAAATACAAAAAGAAACATGTGGAAGCTGACGGGGAAAAAATAACAAATAAATACAGCAACAACTGCCACATTCAAGGGTATGAGTCTTAGTGTATACCTTAGCAGATTCTTGCAGTAAATTAAGTATTTCTTTCAGTTATATAAGAAAGCAACACGGAAAGAAACACTACTGCATACTCAGCGTCGTACGGTGATGGAGGATAATTGCAAATTGTTGAGCTGCAGTTCTCCCATTGTAGTTCAGTCTGTGTTAGTCCACGCTATAATGAGCTTTCCTCCATTACGAGTAAAAAAATCCAAAAACACTTTGAATGGAAATCTTGAGGATTACCAGACAGATGTTACAGTCCAGATAAGTATGCATTGTCTTCTGCATATCTGCATATTTATTTTATCACACGAAACTGATGTAGGTTTTTTATTATGTTAATGTTTTTTGTGGGCGATGCGCGAGCTGTCACAACAGTCTCACGTTTGCATTACTTTGCCTTCACACAGGTCCAGGAATCCACCAGGAAGCTGTCCCGAGGAGGACGGTAACGGCATTGTGGAAGCGGAAGTGCAACCTCCGTACCCGTTCACCTTGTCAGGTGACGACAGCGAAGAAGATGAGCAGGATGAAGCCGCAGACCTACCTGCTACACCCTGGCACCCCAAACCTCTTGGGGTGAGGGCGAGATATACAAAATGCACATCAGCTGGTTGATGGGAAGGTTGTTACGTTAAAAAAAATCTTTAATGACTGTTTTCAGAGGGGCTGTGTGATAATCTTTCTAATATAGCATAAAATCCATGTTATATTTCTCAAAACAAAAAAGGGTGGTGTGGGTGTTTATGTACTTTCAATTCTTTTTAAAGATGTTAACGGTGGAAATTTACACATTGCTTTCATGCAGCTATGCACTTTTGGATGTCGCACGCTTGGTTGCAGCATCTTCACATTCGATCGGCGTTTGCACCACCTGCGCTTTGCGCTCAGTGCCATGTTGGAGCGCCATGTCAGCACACACTTGTGGAAGTGAGTATTACTGTTTTTTAAATGGCACCCATTTGCCCAAAACAAGTTGAAGAAAAGACCTGCTGGCTGAGCTTAAAAGACAACTATCCACAATATGCAAGAGCCTCCACTGAACTAGACACTGAAATCGCTACAGGGAGGAGGTCTACTGTGGATGGCCTCAGCTACTCCCTGGTAATTGTCTAAATAACAGAAACATCAGCTTTTTTTTTTTTTTGCTATTTCCTAACTTTGCTGACGGGTTGAAAAACATCTGTTTGCACTGCATGTCTTCACTTATACTACAAAGAAAAGCCTTGATGCCTGCTGTGAGGCTCATTTGCAGCTTTGGATGCTTTAATGCTCAAAGAACACACTGTTTCAAATCCTTCATCTTCATGCAAACCCCCACCAACCACATCCTCTGCTTTTTAACCACAACCATGTTGGTTACATTTATAAATAACACCCCTGACAAAACTCAGAAGACTGAAACACAAAACCATACCCGGAACAACAATGCCATGGTATCCGTCAGCATTACAATTTTGCCATTGGTCTGGTATAAGGGGACAAGCTAGGGATGCAACGATACCAATTTTTTCAAACCGATACGATACCGATACTTGGATCTGAGTACTTGCCGATACAGAGTACAAAAACCGATTCTTCTACCACACACACACACAAATGCAATGAATTGGAAGACAGGTTTTATTTTATTTTCTGCTGATAATAAATAATATCTTAATAAAAATGACCACAAAAAAATTTCAAGTGAAAAATAAGCACTTCTGTTAAATTATTGCAGAGTCTCCACATTGTAATTTAACAGAATATCACTGAACTATTGGCACTGTCTCTAGGGGATGTCCCCCTAGTGGCCAATCTAAAAAACTACAACAAAAATGACAAGCCATGCTCTGATTTATGAAATAAGCTAGTATCGGTTCATGGTATCGGTTAACTTTTACGAGTATGAGTACACGCACATATTTACAGTATCGGCCCCGATACCAGTATCGGTATCGGTGCATCCCTAGCACAAGCTAACACCAATGTTTGCCACAATATAAAGAAACATCTCTTTTTGTGTGTGTGTGATGTGATTTTGCCCGATTGTGCCATATTTACAGTGCAAAATTGTAATTTTAGCATTGCAGCGCAGTGAGATGAAAATAACTCGTGACAGCTGGTTTCCATGAGTATTATTGGACTGTTTCTTTTTTGAAGTCTAATACTAGAAACAGTTCAGACCTTAAGCCTGCAGATTTGTCAAAGCAATCACAGCTAACATCTTGAGGCTGCTGTTTAATTTATCTAATAACAAAATGAGGCTTCAGCTAATAGTGCAGAAAACTCATGGTAAGTGAATCTGCCTTTGAGTTTTATTTTATTGGAATTACCTTCACATTTTTTTTTCTTTTTCTTGCAGGAAAATGCCTAAAGTATCATCAGGTCTCAGGTCACACTCCCACAGCCTTGAGTCTACCTCACTGGTACAGTTTGAAAACAATCCTTGTCAGCCAAACTCTTACAGTATTAAACCGCCTTATCCTACCACGTCTGCAAGTGTTGGGTCAGGGAGAGTGTGTAGTCCCAGCAAAGCTCAGCTTATAGAGGTGGAACTTATGCAAGATGCAAGTGCAGCACAGAAAGCTGTCAAGAAGTTACAAAGCAGTGAGAACAAAGCCTCCAGATACATCAGGGATCCCTTATTTCATCAGAAGGGCCAGCCTCAGCGCCCAGACAGTGCTACCTTCTCAAATGGAAAAAAGCCACGAGAGTCTACGAAGAGACAGTCAGATGTGAAGAAGTGTCGCCCTTTGCCTGTACCAAATCACCGCTCTCCCCGCGGCAAAGGGAAGCTCCCAGGCGATCAGCAGAAAGTGGTGGCCTATGCCCACATGAGTGTTGCTCAGAAACGCAAAAGCAGCAGCGAGTTACTGTCCTGAACTTCTTCACTTTCAACAATCTCTACGTTGAAATGTTTGTCCCGTTCTTCCTGCTCCAGCTTTGCCTTCTGGAAGGGAGAAGATATCAAACATGTACTTGCATAAAGGTTTGGCAAAAAGCTCGACCCCTAAATACAGTATTGCTTTTATCTTATATTCTGAATCCATTCCTCTTTTTTTATTTTAAAGTCATGAATGGACAGTACGTCTTCTTTATTTGAATTTGAATGTGATGTAACAACAGGAAATGTGTTTTGTAAGTGACAGTTGCTGTTTACATCTCAGCTTTTCAGCCAAACAAGAGGCCAGTCTTAAAACGACTTGGAGATGAAGCGGTGCAGGACAGCTGGTACCAGCATAGTATGAGTGTGTGAATGTGTGTGTGTGTGGTTTTTGTCTTTTGTGTATATTTGTCTTCAGGTTTTTATGCAAAGATTTCAGGAACAAGTGTTTGTATTGACATATTTGTAATTGTTATTGCTAAATTTATAAAAACTCTTTAAGAACATAAGTATACCTCAGTCTGTTCATAATGCTGCTAAAGTTACTACGTTTTTTTGTTGCAGAACAATTAAAGTCTTGAATTACTCTTGCTCTCTGATTTTCATTATTTCACAGCAGTTCTGTACAGATGAGTCATTAAAGACTAATAACTAAAACCTATTTTGATAAATTGAAATCCACTCAATTCATAAAAGCGATTGCATCTACTCGTCCGATAATTTCTCATCTTTAAACACCAGATGGTGCTATATATGCATCTGGAAAATGCACTGCTTTTTCTCTAACGATATAAATGACATTAATCTCAAGCCACCTCTCATTTCTTTATATTTTGTTTCCAAGGAGCCAGACTCTTATAATTTATTTTAAGTGTTGTTCATCAGTGGTTCTCCAGGCTTTCTGAAGGTCTTTCAAAGAGGACTTTTTTGTTTGTGAAGCCATTTAAAATATTCAAGTGTTAAAAGACAGCTAACTCAAGGGATGGAGCTGTGTTGAGTCTACATGTAACGGATAACTTGGCAAAGAACCAATTTTAGATTATATCTTTGGACACTTTGTTACTAGCAAACTGTTGCAAAAACACATTCATTCCCATTGATCAGCTAGTAGCTGAAGACTTGGCACATCTCAGCAGGATGTGCAGTGTGTCCTTAAAAAACTGAGTCTAGACAAGTGGAGGGAAAAAAAAGAAAATGTGCTGGGCCTAAAAACGATTTTTAACAAATGAACAGTACCTGAAAGTCATGTTTTCAGAAAATGGAAAAAATAGGACTTAGGTGATGGCCCTTTAGTTGATCCTTCAACCAAGTTCCCGGAAGTCTCGTCAGATATGATCTCAGTGGAAGAGTGGCTGTCAAGCATCCATTCTTAAGGAAAACAAATGTGGAGAAAAGGCTGAGGTTGCCAAATTACACAAGAACTGGACTGAAAATCAGTTACAACAGGTGGAGGCTGCATTTCAGCCAGTGTTCGAGATCTTTGTCAAAATTGATAGAAAGCTGAACACAGAAAAGTACCATCATGTTTTGATTCACCAAACAATATCATCTGGAAAGCCTCTGATTGGTAACGGCTTCATGTTCAGCAATGACAATGATCCCAAACAGACTGCTAGTGCTGTAAAGAGAAAAACGCAATGAAACACTATCAGTCATTGATTGGCCTCCCGAAAGCCTGAACCTGAACATTATTGCAGCAGTGTGGGACGATCTAAAGACAGTCAACATCCAAAGAAGAGCTTTGAATGTCCTTGTAGAAGCCCAGAGAACTATTTCTGAAGACTAGTTAAAGACATTAGAAAAAAGCTGCCCAAGAGAGTTCAGACTGTGATGCATAATAAAGGTGGTCACAACACATGTTGCCTTTTAAGCTTTTAGAATTGTACAAACTCTGATTGTGACTTAAATACTGTATTTCCATGTATGTTTGCAGACCTCAATAGAATCGCTGCAGCTGACAAAATGTGAAGAAATCATGGCTGACTCGAGATTTTTACACACACCTGTAGATCTATTTATTTATATCAATGAACTAAATCGTGCTTCCTGTTTTAGAACATTGTGATTGTGGTGCACAGTCAAAGGTTTCTGAGAAAGTTTGCAATCATTT